CGAGAAGTCACTAGGACGCAAGGGTTACAGAAGATTTGGAGCAAGATCAGATAGGATTGGTAGAGGAAAGGATGAGGAGAAGGATAGTGGATAGATCAAGGCAACTGGAGATGTCGATTGAAATTACATTTGAATAGTTGGAGATTATAGCTCTCAGGGAAACTAGAATAGGGAAGGGAGTTATACAGGCGAGAGGTGCGAGATATGAAGCTATTGGAGTAGAAGAGACAGCTACATTTAATAGTTTCAACAGTGAAAGGGTGAGAGCAGGATGCCAGCCTCGTAGGGCGCTTGAATTCATGAAGTCTGGAAACCAGCGAATGCAGCTCCACGGAGCAATTGCTATGAAAGTATTTGTAGCATAGACAGAGAGAGGCGACGGCGCGTCTGTGAGAGAGTGACTGTAGACGAGATGGCAGAACAGGGCCAATTATATTATCTGGAGCCTATCAAGAACCCTGAGGCAAACAGAAGATGCTCCAGCCCATATATGGCAGCAATACTCCATGCAAGGGCGAATTGTTGATTTGTAGATCTGGAGGATCGATTCCGGGGATGTCGACAATAACATGGACGGAACATGAGAGCAACGAGGAAGTTTTAAACAGAATGGGAACAAAAAGAACACTTGTGTTTAGAATAAGAAAATGTTGATATTTCTGAGATACATAACGAGGAAGGAAGGCTTGGAGAATTTAGAACCCACAGGTCATCTTGAAGACAAAAAAAAGTAGAAGGAAAAGTCTACTAATTTACCTAACGTTCTTATGTAAGTGTCTGGTAAGGGGACAAATATTGCTTCGAGCTACCATGGATAGGAAGTTGTGGCGAGCCATGATCACACACAGTGGTTCATAAAAGAAGTATAATCTGTTATTCTGACTTGCATTTAATATTTTAATTTGGTTTAATGTAACAAAAATTATTTAGATATTTAAATTGATGTTTTAATAGAGTAGTTTTGTTTGGTAAAAGGCGTAATTTGAGGGAACATGGCAGAGAAAAATGCCGGCCTAGAAAATCATCATTCTAAGTTTTGGCATTAACCTGTTCTCTGTAACTCTGACTACCAAAGTCGGTTCAGTATACGCAAATTGACTTTCAAGAATGTGGAATTTATAAGTTCTAAACACTTCAAATAACTCGGTGTTTCGATCAGTCATAACAAATTTAGTATCTAAGACAAGGAAATTGAACCCGGGTCAGCTTGCGCTAAGGGACACTCTATTTTGGTTACCGCTAGCTGCTACAAAATCAAAATATTAATCTCAGAACGAGTTATGTTCTTAAATAACCTCGTCAGCTCTAGACTCTCATATAAATGTCATGCATTGCATCCAGCTCGGTCAGAAATATGTAAACTGTCTGCTATACACACGGTGCAATGGATAAATTCTCGTCTAAATTACGTAAAATTGAAAATAACCCGGATGTTTCATTTTAATAGATATATTTACCAAAATTACATAAAATATCTTGAAATACTAAAGAGTAAATTTATTCAATAAAATCTCTATTGGCTTCAACCACGGCCTCCAGACGACTTCGGAATCTCCTGCAACTCTTCTGGATGGTCTCCTTGTTTAAGTTGGTGAATGCTGCCATAATCCTTGCCTTCAGTTCATATTTGGTGTTACAAAGAATAGTGTTGGTCTCTCTCTCTCTCTCTCTCTCTCTCAACTGCGTGTCTCACATAATAATCTAGGAGGTTGCAGTCTGGGGAGTTAGGTGGCCAGATATAAGGGGTGATGCAGTCGCAGAAATTGTCTGACAGCCATGATCGGGTTCTCCCGCTTGTGTCGCGTGGTTCAGAGTCCTGTTTCCAGACATAGGTTCTTCGAGTAGCCACTTTCTTGATCCAGGGCAACCCTGATTCCTCAAGGCATTTGATGTAAGCCTTCGTGTTGAGTCTGAGTCTCTGTGGGAAGATAAACGAAGGCATAACATTTCCATCGCTAGTGATTACGCCAAACACCTTCGTAATCACCATTAGACTCATCAAACTCTTCTGCATTGTCTTCAGATTGACACCCAAAAGTTCGTCTTGAAGCTTCCGGCGCCAACTAGTATAGCATGTCGTTTCCAAATTTTTGTCGGCGTTAATTGCGGTCTGATGTTCTTTTTCTCAAAGACGGTGTCTAAAATGACCCGACTGTACTGTGCAGTCGACAAAATAAAAATAAAAAATACTATAAAATGGCGACAATTTACTCATCGCACTCTGTTCAACCGTTTACCCAGATCAATGATTCAAAATGACTTCAAGCGAATGAAACATCTAAGTCTTAAAGACGAAAACCATTCATTAAATATTATAGACTGGCACCACACTCGAAATTTTACCGAATTACAAAATCAACGTCACTTGAAGACTTCCAAGATCAGCAAAAACTAAAATGTTTAGCACATGTAACTAGAAGGAAAATAATGATATTATTGTTGCTGTAAACCCTCTAACAGTATAATGAACTCTTCCTTCTCTCATAAATACAATTGCGAAAGCCGGACGGGAGCGCAGAGTGTGAAGTGGAGTGGAGTAGTAGACGCAGTACTAATCTACTTATTACTAACGCTATTGTTTTGTATATATCTTCGATATACATTTTCAACCTACCTTCATCTTCCGCGTCTTTCTTTCTGGCCCCTAAACAGGCCACAACAATTATAAAGATAAATTTACAAATGACTTCAAACGAAAGGTCTCGATGTACTTCACCGTCAATACTAGAAAGGGCGTTAACAGCTTGAGATGCTTATTTTTTTGAAAAAACTGTTTTAAGAGAAAGATTTTATAAATGTAATCGGAAAGAAAGACTAACTGTTCGGACAATAGAATTCCGTATATTTCCTCTATGGAGACGGTTATTCTATGGGGACGGTTATTCTATGGAAACGGTTATTCTATGGAGACGGTTATTCTATGGGGATGGTTATTCTATGGAGACGGTTATTCTATGGGGAAGGTTATTCTATGGGGACGGTTATTCTATGGAGACGGTTATTCTATGGAAACGGTTATTCTATGGGGACGGTTATTCTATGGAGACGGTTATTCTATGGGGATGGTTATTCTATGGAGACGGTTATTCTATGGAAACGGTTATTCTATGGGGACGGTTGTTCTATGGAGACGGTTATTCTATGGAGACGGTTATTCTATGGGGATGGTTATTCTATGGGGACGGTTATTCTATGGAAACGGTTATTCTCACCATTATTATTATTTAAAAAAATAATTACAGTTGTTTTCACTTATCCGCGGTTTCGCTTTCTGCGTTTCATTTACACGTTGATTATCTGTCATATCTCGTTCAGTACGACAATTTTGCTTGTCGGTTGCTTGACCATAACCAGACGGATATGCTGACTCGGGTCTAAAGTACATGGCGTTAATAAGTAGGAATAATGAGGGAGCCTGATGGCCGGGTGTCAAGAGGATTGTTTTTAAAAAATTTAATTGAGTGACGAAGCAGCCAAAGTGACTTGGGAGTCACATCTAGATACATGGGAACATCTTCAATCAGAGACCGTTTGTACTTAATGGGTTACCCGAGCTGAAGGCATTTCTAACTGGGTCTCACTTGGAAGGTTATGCATTGCTTCTATATAAAGAAATGATTTTATTATGTTGGTTTGCGCGAGAGTGATGGAATTTAAATCTCCATTGTAAACCAAGAAGAAGAAGAAGAAGAAGAAGAAGAAAGAGGAAGAAGAAGAAGAAGAAGAGCAGAGGAATAAGAATAAGCAGTAGTATTATCAGCAGCAGTAGCATCAGCAGCAGCATCATGTTGTGGAAAAGCATAAAATGTGACGCAGATCTGGTAGGAAATCCATATAATATGACCAGTTAAAAACATGAAATAAAAAAGAAATGGCTGATCCTCCAAACATTTTTCCTGTCTGGTTCATCGATATGATTAATATTTTTTTTTTAAATCTCATAGCTATATAACTTGCATCTAAATTATTATTTACTTTTTCTGCAATAATAATAATAATAATTTTACAATTCTATATGTTCCTTTAATTTTTTTCATTAACTGCTTAACATTTGTAGACAAGCGTCAGCGTAAAGATCTCCTGTTACCGTCAACCCTAAGTTGGCAAGGGATTTTGAAGTGTGCCGTTCATGCAACCGGATGAGACACAGCGTTTCGGGAGAAAACAAAAACAAACATGGCGCCAGTCGATAGAAAATGACAATACAAAATTCTTCTCATGTGACTTGGCTTCATTGCCTGTCTGGACGGAGCTGCGTTTGTTCATCCTATTTTGATATGTCAGATAGAACTAGAATTATTACTCAAGATTTTGATCAGACTATTTTTACCACGATGTTTATTTGCCCTTTTATAGAAAAATTTATAAGATCATATGAGAAATTATATAAAAAACTTAATCAAAGCACCTTGTCTGTCATAATTATTGTATCTTGCATATATATATATATATATATATATATATATATATATATATATATATACACGCATATATATATATATATATATATATATATATATATATATATATATACGAAGATAAATGAAAATTTAGATAAGGTAAGAATTTTTTTTTTGAGAAAGGGAATTAATTGGAAACTTTCTACGCTATTATACTTTTTCTTTTGGTGTAAACGCAAATCAGACATTTATTTAAAACTTCCGACATTTTTCCTAACGTTAATTTAATAGGATTAGGTAGGTTTTACTATCGTCCGGTTCACACACCTCTCCTGTTTTTTGAACAGGAGTAGAGGTTTAGCTTCGTTTCTTGATAAGGATTTGTGTTTCCGGTTCATCCTAAAATCTTCTCATTCTCTTTCACTCCCAGTAACCCATTGCGTCTTAGTAACGTTATCGCCTTGTTTGGGGCGAATTGATTAAAAAAAAAATGATCTGTTGCTTTTTTTCTGGTCCGTAGCTCTACAATGAAGAATAGTACGTAGTGTTGTTGATAACTGAAACCGGCTAATAATCTTATTTTCAAATAATATTTTTCAGGTGCTGTGCTCTATGGCTTAGACCCGTCGGTGGTCAGTATACGCCGCTGTCGTTTGACCTACGGCGTTGGTGTCTTGAACAAATTCGACGAGAACAAGCATCCGCAGGATAAGCTATTTACAAAGGACGGCATGAATTGGTGTTCGGATGTCTTCGACAAATTCGTGGTCATCAACCAGCCATTAAGGGCCGGAGACACGGTGGTTCGTAGCTATACGCCGGCTAAGATTGACCAGAAGCTGAGCATCATCAATATCTATGCATCCGACAAGAAGGACGTCCAGTTCATCACCGACCCTAGTGTCCGGAAATGTGGCACTCTATCACTGGATCTCTCCACGGAAAGTCCGATTACCCCAACGCGGAGAGAGATTCAGACCATCATGTCCTTTGCTGACACGGAGATCCGGATGACAGCATTGGACGTCCTCACAGGGAAATCGGTCAAATCAACCATTGATTTCTTGGAATGAAATCCAGTTATTGAACTCACAGAAAGAACTCTAAGAACCAGAATTGTATTGTGGCCCACGCATACATAATATATATATACGCCTATACACATATGATACTAAATACATGAGTACACACAAATGTAAGTAAGAATACATGTACCCCCGTATACATACTAAAACGTAACGAAAGTCTAACACGAATGAAGAATACATATAAATATAATTAGTTACATTGTAATGTGCGTCTGTCTTGTGTGTCCATTTCTATAGTATTTGATGTTTCTCTTCTAATAGCTCTATTCAATTCTGTGTGTCCATTTCGATAGCACCATACTATCATATGTACTTATTTCCAACGCACTAATCTATCTTGTGTGTCTATCTTCATAGCACTACAGTATCCTATATATCGATTTCCTTATGAGTAGTCTGTCCTATATGGTCAGATTCATAGAACCATAATATACAGTGTGTCCATTTCTATGATACTATACTATCGTATGTGTTCATTTTCATAGCAATATATTATCCTGTATCCATTTCCATAGTAATATTCTATCCTTTCCATAGCATTGTATTATTCAGTGTATCCATTTCCATAACACTATTCTACCCTTGTTATCTTTTTCCATAGTACTACACTATCCCGTATATCTATTTCCATAGTACTATTCTATCATGTGTCGATTTCCATAGCAATATATTATCCTGTGTTCATTTCAATAGTACTATTCTATCCTGTGTGTCCATTGTCATATCACTAACCTATATTGGGTTTATTTCCATAGTACTATTCTGTTATGTGCGTCCATTTCTATAGCATTGTGTTATCCAGTGTGTCCATTTCCATAGAACTACTTTTTTTTATCTATTTCCATAGCACTACACTATCCCATATGTCAATTTCTGCCGTACACCAGTGTCCATTTCCAAAACACTACCCTATCATAAATGTTCATTTCCCCGGCATTATTCTGTGTTCAATTCCATAGTTCTGTAATAAACATTAAGGTTATAATGAAGACCACACACACACACACAATCGCATATTTACAGCTTCATGCTAATACTTTTACTTTATTTTTTCTAGCGTATTTTGCACAAAGACCAATGTCTAGGGATGGAACTGAGATAAAAGCTACGATTTTGAAAAGTCCCTTCTTACTTTCAAGATTGTCGAAACACGATCTCTTTCCCCATTTAGCCCTAGGCCATTTGCCAGATTAAATTATACTTCATAGCTATCCATACCCACGTATCGTTTGGCACATAATAAACCTGGCCATGTGAGTTTCTTATATATATATATATATATATATATATATATATATATATATATATATAAAGATTATCGCATAAACTTTCATAACTGAATCAATAAGCTGGCAGATCCTCATACGTCGAAACCGACGGGAGAGTCCATTATTATATATATATATATATATATATATATATATATATATGATTAGCTCTATTGATGTGAATTTGTGACCCCTTGCGATCGTCAAATAAACAGTTTAACTTTTAATTAATTTAATTAATTTTTTTGATGATAGCAAGGGCGTGAAACACAGGGTAACAAACTCATTATTCTGTGTGTCCATTTTCATAGCGCTATACTAAACATTAAAGTTATAATTAATGCAAATAAGTATGTTAGCTCTATCACTGATATTGAACGCTTTCCAAGAAGTACCTCGCATATATAATATATAAATAATATATATATAAATTGCATATATATATATAAATTGCATATATATATATATATATATATATATATATATATATAGCTTTTTTTATGTAGGTATATGCAAGCTGGTATGTGGATAGGTGCTGTCATATATGTGCAAGCAATTCACATGCATAGCGAGTAAATGTGTTTCAAATGTAATTTAATTGGTCAAACCCACCTGTTCGCGTTTCTGTTTGCTAATGATTCATACTTACTTGACGACGACGACGACGACGCAGTTGTCCATGATGACCATTTGCAGAGCCACTCTGTAGACCTGCTTCTCTTTTAGAAGTGAGGAGAAGGAAGCATCTCTTCGCAAATGGCGCCACTTGTTGTTTTATTAGTCGTATTCGAACCGAATCTAGTCTCTCTACTTGTACATTCTGTAAACCGTTCAGTAAGACGTTTAGTATGTACAACTATAGAATGATCTATCCATCTATATGGGGAACTCTGTAGACTCCTACCATTCTAACAACCTCCCTACCTATTTAGAAAGTGAAGAGCTATTTTTAATGGATGTTCCATACATGAAGCCTTGTACCAAACATAAGCTACACTTAGCATGTATCAGCAATGATCTATTTATTGGACATCGGCCATAAAGCTGTTAACTTTTCTACGAATAAACCTACTGTTGTAATGTTAATACAGTTTGGTTCCTTTATGGAAATAAGTGTCATATCTAGTCAGGACATAAGCAGTCATGGTTCTCCACATCTTCATTTTCTTTTAATATCTGTAAACTGTGTTGCTATCATTATTCAATACAGTGGATGGAGCTTCTAGTCATCTTCTCCATTGCTTTTGAATTAAGAGTGGGTCTTCGCATAGACTGTTTGATAACCAAGGCTAGCGAACGCACTCTGTATTGATCTTTAACCCATAGTTTGGGGAGGAAACGATAGATGGATTCCTGCTTTTTTCAAGTGCAAAGTGAAAACAAACTATCTTTGGTGGGATTTGAACTCGGCTTGCTGATTCCATTTACTTAAGTCTCATGCACCTCCATACAGTTACATAAATACTATTTATTGGAAATTTGCTACTGACATATCAAACTACGTACGTACATATTTAGAATCTTTCCTTCTCATTAAGCAGTCTATTTACTAATATAGTTAAGTACTTACTAAGTTTCTTTTTATTGGACGCTTGCTGTAGATATGTGTTCATGTTTTAGGTTTGAGTTTTACTAGCTCCATTATATAAGCTCGGTAAATTTCTACAGTTTTTTTTTTTTTTTTTTTTTTAATTAACTGGGTTTATCATGGCTGAAAGACATTAACTTGGAACCGAGTGAGGATCGAACAGTCGTACTGTTTTTTTTAATTACTATGACTTCATTGGAAATATAATAGACTGGTCATCAATTGCGCTATCCTACTATTTATAAACTATAGATCGGGGAGAAACGAGGATATTTAAGGTTTGTAAATTTCTCGTGGTTATTCAGAAATTATAATTAACGGGTGTAGAAGTCCTAAATCCATTGACGCCTTCGTACACACACACACACACACACGAGTGCACAAACACACACACACACATACGCGTGCAAATACATACATACTTACACTCGCATGAACACATGCAAGCATACACACATACGTACACGCAAACACACACAGAGATTCAAGCACGTACACACGTAATACTATTCTATCCTGTGTGTCCATTTTCAAAACACTATCCTAACATAAATGTCCATTCCCACGGCATTATTCTGTGTGTCCATTTTCATAGCGCTGTACTAAACATTAAGGTTATAATTAAAATCGCACCCAACCACACACAAACACCAACACACACACACGGAAACACACACACATACAAACACATATACACACTAAATCCATCTCCCACACTCATGAAATACACGGTTTCATTTCTATTAGAATTTACATATACCAAAATACGCAAGCATATACACGTTTAAGGGCCCGAAAGACGAGCATGAATTCTGTGTATAAACAGGTAGAAAAAAAAGCCTGTCATATTGTGAGTTTATAATCGCATATGATTGATAATGTTTTCAGATCGATAATTTTTATGCTTCGAAGATAAAAACAATATTTTTTCTTTGACGGATTCTTTGTTTCTGAAAACGAATACAAACAATGTTTTCTTACATATATAGCAAAAGTATTTCTTTTTCTCTTTTATTTTTTTACAACTTTGCCAAGAATAAATTGTCGCCCTCCACAATTGATAGCTTCGTAAAGCTACTTGACTGTATTCTGAAATTTAAGCAGCCACCTGCAAGACTTAAAATATTCGTCCACGAATAGAGATAATTTTACGATCTGAATTCAGTGTGTAAGAAATTCTGCTAAGAATAACCCCCAAAAAGAAAAATGAGATTTAGTTCTCTCATTTCCAAAGAATTCTTGATGTCAACTAGTGATAGAAAATGTTTTTCTTTTCAGTTTTTTAACTACGAAAATCTGACTAATAGAACGGGGAAAAAGTTTGCATAAATTAATTCCTATTATTTCGAAAATTACATTTTCAATTAATTTTCTTGGTGCGAGTCTCTTGGTTCATTTTTCGTGGAGGTTTGTTATTTTAAATACATAACAACCACTAATATTCTTCAAAAGGAATAGAATGAAAAATGCTCATTGTTAAAATTCGCTTTCTTTAATAAGCCAATTAATCCATACTGTAAAAGTTATATTTAGTGGATAGTGTTTGAGTATTTTTTGAGTATACATACAGGCTTTTTAAACAGTGGAATTAATATATAGCAGCCATAAGAAGATCTACCTAACGACTGGAATAGAATATGCATTCCCTTTTCAATGTGGGAAACAGCTTTTAATTCAAGTGTGCTTTACCTTTAGGCTACGAGAAGACATTAGAGCAAAGCAATTTCGTTTAATCATTTCACCCCAAGCAAGGCGATAATGCCACTAAGATGAAAGCAGCGAAAGAGAATGAGAGGACTTTAAGAGAAGGAACCGGAAACCAAATCCATAACAGGAAACAAGGGATAAACCTCTACTCCTGTTCAAAAGATGCTGAAGGTGTGTGAACCGAGCAATATCCGAATGTGCAATTACTTTCACTGTTTAAAAAACAAAGAGATCTACTAAATGTAACATTTATAATAATAAGAGATAAATTCAATTAATAATCCCTTTATTACTTAAGAATGTATATATATATACATAAATTATATATCTGCATATATTTATGATATATAATACATGATATAACACACACAAATAAATATATATATATATATATATATATATATATATATATATATATATAT